AGAAGCGGGAAGGAGACAGGAGGGCGAGGTGGGAGAGGTGGGAGAAGGAAGACAGAGGGACTGGGGTGGGGTGGGGTGGGGGAGGGGAATGAAATGGAGAGGTGCCAGCAGCCATCTGTGAGGGGCACTGAGTCCCTGCCACACAAATGTATCCCATTTCTGGTTGCACACTGAGAAAACCCCAGTTCTCTCCAGAGAGATTCCCCCTGAGAAGCGGGCACGGGCCCCATATGTGCCCACACAGAGGGCATAAGGGCTCCTGCTCCCACTTTGTCCAGCCTGCATGCGCTGGGACTTTCAGGGGCTGGGATTTGGGAAGCAGCTCCCCAGACCTTTCCTGCCCAGGGTCCTCTCGGTGGCCTTGAACAGCCACACTTTTTGGTCAGTGACAACGTGTGCTAGCCATTTGCAGCAGTCCACACATAGCACCTCTCGGTCCTGCACGCTATGAGAGGTGACTGCCCGCGGCCCCCACGCACCTCGGGTCGGCCGTGCACAGCTTCCCCAGCGCAATCCCGGCGTTCAGCTGCACAGCCGTCTCCTGGGCGTCCCCGCCCGCGTGTGCTAACAGGACCTTCACCACCTCCGTCTTCAGCAGGGCGGCCGCTGCATTGGGCACCTCCATGCAGTTGCCAAGGCAGAGGGCGGCGTTTCCCACCAGTATCTCGTCCCCGGAGCTGAGCAACTTCATCAAAACATGAAACTCTGCAGGGAAGGGAAGGGCGAGACCAACATCCACTCTAGGGAACCTCAAAACACGAGGCTAGCAAGGGGGCCGGAGGGGGGCTGGATGCCAACACACTCACTGCAGGAGGACCTGTTCGCCCACAGGGATGGCCATGGGGCCCCTGGCTCCTGACTGGAGCTCTGGCCGAGCTCAGGCCCAGAACAGTGTCCAGCAGCACACAAGTGACTGCGGGAATGGAGGCTCCAGGCCAGGCCCCTTTCCTCAGCACTGGGGGCAGCAGTGACCAAAGCAGACAAGCACCAAGTCCCGTGGCCCCTTATGTTGTTGGGTTGAGGGGCAGACAGTGAGTTCAGTGTGTGATATGTCCGAGGGAGGCAGATACTGTGGATGAGAAAGCCAGGGAGATGTGGGTCTGGGCTTGGGAACGGGGACGGGGGTGCAATCTGGACCAGGTGAGCCATGTGGCTACCTGGGGGATGTGCATCTCGGGGGCAGAGGCGTGCAGGTGCAAAGGCCCTGAGGTAGGGTAGGAGGGTGGCCTATTTGAAGCAGAACAAGGAGACCTGTGTGGCTGGTGGGGAGTAAGTGGGAGGAGGAGGACTTTGGTGTGGGGTCAGAGGGCACCTGCTCTAAAAATAATGGGAGAACCAAAGACAGTAAGCGTGCTCAGAATGACGTCTGAACCCATGCATGTTTCTGAGGTGCACTCTGACTGCTGCGTTAAGAATCAGGACCAGTAATGAGAGTAGCGATACCAGGAGGGTAGGGTGGAGGTGAGGGGAGTAACCAGTCACAATGTTATCTGTAACCCTTCCACAGGGGGACAAACAACAGAAAAGTGGATGAAGGGAGACAGCAATCGGTGTGAGACATGAAAAAAATAACAAAGTGAAGGTTCATGAGGGAAGGAGAAAAAAAATGAGGAGTTGATACCAAGGGCTCAAGTAGAAAGAAAATGTTTTGAAAATGATGATGGCAACGTATGTAAAAATGTGCTTGACACAATGGATGTATGCATGGATTGTGATAAGAGCTGTAAGAGCCCCCAATACAATGATTAAAAAAAGAAAAAGAATCAACTATGGGCAAAAGCAGAGTCAGGTAGACGAGAGAGGAGGCTAGAACAATAGTACAATCATCCAAATAAAAGACAATCATGTCCTGGGCTGGGTCCAAACATCAGTTAACGTCTCCTCGGCTCGCCCAGGGACTCAAACAAAATATGCTCCTGAGAAGGCGTAGAATCCATCAGGCTTGCTGGCCCCGCTCTGGACAGGACCTGCGCACACCCACATGCCAGTGGACAAGCTGAGCCACATCTGGGCAAAGCTCTTGTCATCCAGGGTGAGCTGAAGGTGAGAGGGGTGAAACTCCAGTGGGCATTTCTGATGCCAGCCCTACTGGCATGTCTCCCTCTAGCAGGAGTTGCCCTTGGAAACACCTGGCCTGAGCTGTGCTCTGTTTCCTGGTGACAGAGCTCACATAACGCTGACGTCACAGTACTGCCTGGCGGGTAGGATCCAGGTTTCAACGGGGGGAGAGGCATCAGCTTCTGCACAGAAAGCCCTGAGACTAGACCAGTGCTGACCATCAGAACATTCTGGGATGGTGGGCATTTCCATATCGGCACTGACTGATACAGCGGCCACCACTGAACGATGGAAGTACAGGCATGTGGCTGAGGACCCCAATGTGCCATTAAACTCATTTAGACAGAAATAACCACCTGTGGCTATAGGCTACCAAACTGGACAGCACAGCTCAACAGAGAAACTATAGAGAGGCTTAGGATACACTAACGCAAGCCCACTGTCATGGCGATCCTGAAGGGCAGGGTAGAACTGCCCCTGTGGGTTTCTGAGACTATCATTCTTTACAGAAGTAGAAAGCCTCATCTTTCGCTCTCAGATGGGCTGATGGTTTCGAACTGCTGACTCAGAGGTGAGCAGCTCAGTGCATAACCACTACACCACCTGGGCTCCTGAGGCTTAGTCAAGCGCTGTGCTAAGCACGCTGCATCCTATTACATCATTACCCGTGAGGGAGGTGGTGTGGCTGCTCTCCCTGTACAGAGAAGGAAGCAGGGAGTCAGAATCAGAGAGGTTATGTGCAGAGCTTGCCCCTTGCCCAAGATCACACGGCCGCGAAGTGGACTTGAGCCCGGGTCTGTCTTCTCTAATGTCCATCCACCGCGTGACGGCATCCGTGGCCATCAAGGCAAGACACGGGACCCGGAAAGAAATGCTTGCACGATTCTATGATGCTCACCTTCCCGACACAACCGCTGAAGACAAAGCGGGTGAATAAGCAAATGTGGTGAAGAAAGCTGA